CAAGAATCCAGTGCTTTCAAGATAAGTCTCTATTACATGTGGAACATTTAACTGTGGAATAAGAAACACTTAATCTAAGAAACTCTTTTCTTTTGATAGGAAACTGTTTCTCAACAAGTGAAATCTATTTTGGTGTTGGGTGCTACTCTGGTTAGTAGATCATCACTCACAGCGACCAGAATAGGATGCACAGATCTGCTGTATATGATTTCCTAGGCTGTAATCTTTACAAAAGCAGACTGTCAGGTCTTGTCTCCCATGAAGCTGCTGGTGGGTTCAGAGGGCCTACCTTTCAGTTCACAGCTGAGCATTTTAACCATTGCCCCATTAATTTTAGCACTACCTCTGGAATCGAAAAAGATACAGATCTTGATTTTTGCTAGTATGTGAAACATGAACAAATAGGTTGTCTTCAAACTTAAAGAGCATCTTTAAGATGTCATGAACCACTTTTATTCTACTTATGTAAAAGTTGTCAAATGTGGGTAAGTCTTATTGCAAATACAATTATTTTAAAAACCACAAAAGAAGGGAAACACTTTAGAGATACAGAAAGGCAAAAGTCCCCTTTCTGCACATGTGGCCATCATATTTCCAGTGGAACAAAACATTCAGCTGAAAAACTATGATGTACAATAATGCAGAATTGAAAATAGAGCTTTTTATTCTCCCAAGTTAAAATGATGTCGCCCTGTAGACAAGAAGGAAGCTTTAAGTGAGAAAGAACTGTTAACAATCATATAAATCACTCATCTTTATAGATGAAGTGGTGACTGTAGTAATCCAAGGATTATTAAAATGACCACTAGGCACCTGTATGAAGTCACAAAGGCCCAAACATAGCTTATCACCAGACTTCATGTTTTTGAAAGGGTTATTAGAGGCATTTTAATTTTAAAGAGGCTATTTACTAGCTGATTTTCTACTAGACACATAATCTAGACACAAAATTTTATTTAATTATTATTCAAATTCTAGAAGACAGATTTTTTTTTATTCCAGCTTTTAATATATGGTTTATTGAAACCCAAAGAATTTATACAGCTTGCCAAGGGCCCAGCAATTAATAGCAGTCACAGAACTCGAAGTCAATAGAAACCTTTGTTAGGGAGCACTGGTGGTACAGGCCTCAGAGAGTTGTGCTGCTAACCTACTTCTCTGGTGGTTCAAATCTATCAATGACTTCTCAGGAGAAAAGTGGGAAACTTTGTCCTAAGTAATCTACAGCCTTGGAATCCCAAAAGAGGGTGAGCTAGAGTTGGTTCTGACTAAATAGCAATGAGTGTTAGGCTGGCGAGGGGAGGTCAGGGGACTAGAGGATAAGGAGTTGTAGGGCCAATCCAAAGGCAGGTGATGTCATCTAAGCAGCTACTCTGTGAAGGAGATGGAAAATTTCCTTCCACGTGATTGACAGCCTCTGAAACTCCACTGGAATCAGTTATGATTCAGTTCCGACTGAATGGCACATTAACAACAGGGGGAGTATAGGGCATGGAATGCATCATTATGTATTTTGGCAAAAAAGACTTTTCCTAAAGCGCTGCCTGATCTTATGAACAAATGTAGAAAATGAGCTAGATAATAATAGTCTTTGATCCCACCTTAAAAAGAGATTATGTTCTCATAAGGCTCTCTTTTCTTTGATGACTTAAAGAAATAGAAGTTACTTTCATATTTCCATGAAGATGACAAAGAGAGTAATACTAAGTTCTGTGATGTGTTCCTGCAAAGTATAGCTCAATTTGCAATTTCTCCACAAAAAAAAGTCTTTTATTCTCTTACTTTGCATATTTTAAAATTTTGTTTTTAGATTGTACTAAACAGTTATTAGTTACTTGCTATGTATTAGAGAGCTGGACAATGACCAAGGATGACAGAAGAAGAACTGATGCCTTCAAGTTGTGGTGCTCGAGAAGAATCTTGAACATATATATCATGGACTGCCAAGAAAACAAATAGATATGTTGTGGAGAGGGGGAAACCAAGTTTCTCCTTGGAGGCTAGGATTTTGAAGCTCCATCTCATACATTTTGGGCACGTGGCCAGGAGAGACTGGTCCTTGGAGAAGGACATCATGCTCGGAAGGGTGGAGGGACAGTGCAGGAGAGGAAGACCTCAGATGAGATGGATTGATATAGTAATTAAGGCAGTGGGGGCTGGTGTGTCAGAATCAGTGAGACTGGCTCAGGACAGGGCAGGCTTCAGAGGCTACTAAGATTGACAGGCGACTCAATGACACATAACAGTTTATAACTGATTTAAGGCTGACATCAACTGTCACTTTTGGTATAATAACCTTTCTCTCCAATTGGGTTCTAAATTTTTAAAAGGAAGAATTTTATCAATGCCATTCTTCAAGATACTCCCAAATAAGCAAAGTGGCAACATCACACCCTCTGAAGTCAAAATCTATTACAATCAACCAATCAAAACAGAATGGTACTGGTACAGTGACAGACAAATAAACCCATATAAAGAATCAAGAAGCCAGAAATCAACTCATCTATCTGTTTATGGTCAAGTGATCTTTGCCATGGAGATGAAATACATTAAGCTGGGATATGACAGCTTCTTTAACAAACAGTGTTGGCAATACTGTGCATTTATCTGCAGAAAACAAGATCCACACCTCACAAATTACACAGAAACCAAATCAAAACGAACTAGGGACTTAGGTGTGGGAAAAAACCAAAATGAAATTATAAAGATGATCAGGGGGCAGGGGGAATAGGAACCAAGTTATAAACTCTTAATTTATGAAAGGCTTTCAAATATAGAAAAAAAAAAGGGATCATAGCAAAGAGAAGACAAAATAGACTAATAGGACCTTCTAAAATGAAAATTTTGTGTGTATAAAATACCTTCTCCAATAGGGTGAAAAGAAAGCCCACAGACTGGGGAAAAATATTTGACAATGGAATATCTAACAAGGGACCATCCAAAATTTCTAAAATACTACAGCACCTCAACAAAAAAAGACAAACAACCCAGGATAAAATGTACAGAAGATGGGGAAAGACTCTTCACCAAAGATATTCCGATATCTAACAAACACATGAAGAAATGCTCCCGATGACTATTGTTGTTGTTATTAGATGCCACTAAGTCAAGGATGACTCATGGGCTGTTCATAGTTTATGAACAGCCGATCTGAACACTGTCCTGTCCTGTGCCATCCTCATAATCTTTGACATACTCAAGCCATTGCTACAGTTAGTCAACCCACCTCTCTGAGGGTTTATGCTCTTTAGAGATGTGCAAATCAAGACAAAAATGAGTTATAGTCTCACCCCAGCAAGGAAAGCCAAGTTTAACAAGCCACTAACCAGCAAGTGTTGATAAAGATGGAGGATTTATTAGGATTGAAAGTCTCATGTGCTGCTAGTGGGAATGCAAAATGGTGCAACAACTATGAAAGGCAGTCTGGCACTTCCTCAAAAAGTTAAGAATATGGAAACAGCCCAGATGTCCAACCATAATCGAATGGATTGAGAAATTATAGTATATTCACAGAATGGAATACTACGCAGCACGAAAGAACAATGATTTTTTTAAATTATTACCTAACTTCAGAGGGACTAGAGAGCACTATGCTGAATGAACTAACTCAATCCCATAGGACAAATATTATATAAAACCATTATTGTAGAATGAGTATTAGAATCCAAGCATGGGGGGGGGTGGCGGGAGAGGAGTAAAAAGATGAGGATTTGGGGGGATTAATTAGGCGTTGTACAGTTTGGTGGGTGGGGGGGGTTTGAGGAAAACTGGAACAATCTGGTCTGGAAAACAATGTATTAGAATTTTATAAATAAACTAGTATAATTAAGAAAAGAGAGGAAAAAAGAGAAATCCCATTTGATCCAGCTATTCCACTGCTAGAAATGTACCCTAAAGAAATCAGATCTGTGACACAAAGAGATGTACATACACCTATGTTTACTATAGCATTATTCACAACAGTAAGGAGATGCAAACAGCCCAAGTGCCTGTCAACAAATGAACAGAGAAATGTGGTACATTCACAAAATGAAATACTATATAGCATTGAAAAACAATGAACTTGTGAAACACTAAACAACATAGATGAGTCTAGGACACATTATATTGAGGGAAATCAGTCAGAAAAGGTCAAATACTAAGTAAGACCATTATTATAAAAAAATTGGATGGCCACACAGTGAGAAGAGAACAAGAATAAAATGAATAGATAATGACCGCTATAATAAGTTAGGGAGAGGGAAGATCAACTTGAAATGTGTGGACCACTAGAAAATATGTGCATTGCAATCAACAACCTGGAATAAGACAAGCACAACTGATCAAATGGAATGTGGGGGAGGAGGTAAAGGAGAGAGGAATTTCTCTAAAATAAAAAAGAATAAAGCAAAAGCTTATCCACAAATAGAAATGACTGCAGAGCGTTGACAGGTAGGGACAGAATGAGTGGGAGAAGAGGCAGAAAGTAGCAAATGAAAGGGACCGGAGAGTACAGGAAGGATATTGTAAATAATAGTAATATACAGCTAATAGTATTGTCTTAACATAGAAAAAATAAAGATGGCTTTGATCTTAAAAAAAAAAAAAAAAAAAAAGGTAGGACCTTGTCTTAAAATTCTATTTTTTAATACACAGGAAGCTCAAAAATGATTTGTAGAATTTAGAGATATATAAGCTATATTTTCATAACTCTTTTTAAAAAATTGTTTCTGAATGACTAAACTGAGGTAATCGGGAGTTTTCCTGTTAAATTTCATGGCTTAAAAAAAGAGAAAGCAATTGAGAAACCGCATTTACTTTCTTTATATAATGGACCCACATTTAGGATATATACAGATAGATCAATGATCATATCATCACTGTTCTCACTTGATAAAACAATCAAGATGCTCTGTGTATGAAGAATTGTTCAATTTTTTTTAATTTCTAAAAGAAATAGCTGAATACATTATATATTCCTTATATCTACCTCATAGTGGGTAACTGGTAGTTAATCTTACCTTAAACTTCCCATCTGAAGAGAAAATGCTAACCCATTTATTGTCATAATCTGCAATGATTATGTCCCCACTGGGATGCACAGCTACTCCTGTGGGCCGCTGCAGCTGTCCAGGAGAGCGCCCTCGTATGCCAAAGCGGCTTTTGAACTGGCCATCATTGGAAAATATCTGGAAAAGAACGTGCACTAATGAGACGTAAATCTCAAAAACAGTTTACACCAGTACACAGAGAATTCTAGCCTGATTCAGAAGAGACATGGAATGAGGGGCAGACTGAATGATGTCAGATAGATCTTAACTGAAAGCAGAGAATAATAAAATGTTTACCTGTGTTTAAATGACTATGCAAAGGCATTCAATTGTATAGTTCATGACAAGTTAGCACTGGGAAGAATAGGAATTTGGTAACACTTAATTGTATTTCATGTGGAACTTGTACACAGACCTAGAGGATAGCTATTTGACCGTACAAGGGAATACTTCATGGTTTAAAATCAGCATGGGCTGTCAGAGTTTCATCCTTTTGCCATATCTGATGGCACCTAACAACAGATGTAAAGTAGTACAGGTCATTATAAGGAAGAAATGAAGACTTGTCAAATGTACTGCAGGACAGAACATGTAAACTCTATCTGAAGAAAAGCCTACATATATATTCTAAGCTCCTTGTGCTTATGGTATGTAACTTAGGTCTTAAGTTGGAATATATCTCTTCTATTAATGTACCTGTAGATTGTTAAGAATACAGTTAGGGACCATACCTGTACACATTGGTTGTTACTGTCTGCAATTAAGATCTTTCCAGTTGTAGATGCAGCTACCCCCTGAAGATTTGTAAACTCTCCTTTATTTCTTCCTTTGGTACCTGAGGGTGATGGGGGAAGAAATTCACAGAAAACAAATAATAGTGAATTTTATTTCTTAATCTTAGCAGGAGATTATTTAGTCCTCTACATCAGATAATTCGTTGTTGTTATGTGCCGTTGAGTTGAGTTGCTTGTGACTCACAGTGACCCTATCTATGTACAACACCTCCGAACCCTGCTCTATATCCTGTGTCAGTACTATTGTCTCTGATACACATAGCCCCATTACCCCAGTCACTGAATCAATCCATCTCATCGAGGGTTTTCCTCTCTTGCGCTGTCCCCTCCACTCTCTCAAGCATGATGTCCCTTCTCCAAGGACTGCTTACTCCTAGCAACATGCCCGAAGTATGCCACACGAAGCTTTAGAATCCCTGCCTCCAAGAATGAACTTGTTTTTTCTCCTAGCAGTGCATGGTATATTTAGTACTCTTCTCCAGCACCACAGCTTAAAGGCTCCTATCATCCCTAGTCATTGTCCAGCTTTCTGATGCATGGCAAGTAATTGTGAAGACTATGGCCTGGATCAGATGCACCTTGGTCTCTATCACTGCTCTTGAGTATTCTGGCGAGGTCTCTTGACAGCAGACTTTCCCAATGCATTTTGTCTTTTGATTTCCTGGCTGCTGGTACCAAGACTGTTGATGTGGAGCCAAGCAAATTAAGCTGTTAGCAATCTCAATCCCATCACCATCTATCATGACATTGCCAATCACCCAGTGGTGAGAATATTTGTTTTCTTGATGTTAAGCTTCAATCCAAATTGAAGGCTGTAGTCCTTGACCTTCTGCAGCAAGTGCTTCAGGTCCTCCTCAGTTTCAGCAAGCAGGGTTGTGTTATCTGCATAACGCAGATTGTTGTCCTCCTCCAATCCTGATGCAACATTCCTCATAGAGCCCTGCATCCTGGATAATCTGTTTTGCATAAAGATTGAAAAAGTATGGAGATAGGACACACCCCTGGTGTATACCCTTCTCAATTTTGGACCATGCAGTTTTTCTTGCTCTGTGCTGATGACTGTCTCATGATCCAAGTACAGGTTTCTCATAAGCACAAACGTAGGGTAGGGATTATTCCTTACCTACCTACACACACACACACACACACACACACACACACACACACGTATACACAGAGTCTAATCCATATGAAATTAAACTATTTCCAAATCAATCAGGCCTTTCCAAAATTAGTTCTTTAGGCAAATGCCAAATCACCTCTTATTAATTTATAGGTGTACAGTAACATAATCATGATGCACTTAAGATTCCACAAAGATATGGTAATGAAATTAATATTCTAACTGAGGACAGACTTTTTTTTATATTTTTGCCACAATTACCTTCTCATTTAGCAGCTCTTGGAAGAAACCTGGATGTTGGATTGTGCATACATTTAAGAAATAATAAGATCACAGATGTTATAAAAATAGCAAGTTGGTTTTCATGTTGTTCATTTACTTATGCATTATTTTCAATGATTCAGTATCTGATATTCTTCCTGAAATTATGAAAAATAATCTAGTATGGTGCTTTCTAGACTAAATAAGAAAACCTACTGGAAATCAATTAACCCAAGGAACTATTTTCATCCTTCCTGGATTCCTTTTTATTTTTGAAGAAAACAGAAGAAGAAAAATTATGATAGGTGAAGAAAAAGATTGAAATTGGCAATGATTTCACCTTACTGCTATCCACAATCAGCACCTCTGGCACTAGCAGTCAAGAAATCAAAAAGTGTGTTGCAATGGGAAAGCTTGAACCTCTCCAAAGTATTGAGGAGCAATAATTTCAGTTTAAAGACTGAAGTGTGCCTTATTGAGGCTATGGACTTTTCAAACACTTGGTAGACATCTGAAAGTTGGGTAATGAATACGCATGACAGAAGAATTGATACCTTTGAATTGTGGTGTTGGAGAGGAGTACTGACTATCCCATGGACCGCCAAAAGAACAAACACAGACATCTTAGAGAAAGTGCAACTAGAGTGTTCCTTGGTGGGAAAGATGGTGAAACTTCATCTCACATACACATACTTTGGGCATGTTGTTATGAAGGGCTATTCCTTGGAAAGGGATCTCACACTTGGAAAGATGGAGGGACAGTGAAAGGGAGGAAGACCTTAAATGAAATAGATTGAGTATGTCAGAGATGAAGATGGCACAGGATAGGGCAAGGTTCAGATTTGTTGTTCAGAGGGTCATCATGAGTCTCACTTTATGTTACCTAGCAACAACAGACTCATTTTTTAAAATCAAAGGATATGAGGTAGGGATTGCAGGGGAAGCAAAGAAGTCAGTCCACAGGTTAACAGATGTTGTTGTTGTTATGTGCCATCGAGTCGCTTGCGACTCATAGTGACCCTATGTACAACAGGCCTAAACTCTGCTCTGTCCTGTGCCTTTCGTACTGTCTGACACTCCCATCCCAATTATTCCAATCACTGAATCAATCCACCTCATAGAGGGCCTTCCCCTCCTGCGCTGTCCCTCCACCCTCCCAAGCATGATGTCCTTCTCTAAGGACCGGTCTCTCCTCACAACCTGTCCAAAGTATGTTAGACGAAGCCTCAGAATCCTTGCCTCCAAGGAGCCACTCGGTTTAACCCTAGAAGATTTTTACCAACTTTTACAATCGGAGATTGAGCGAACATGCAACCAAGATGCATTGATAATAATGGGTAACTGGAATGCAAAAGTCGGGAACAGAGAAGAAAATTCAGTAGTTGGAAAACATGGACTCGGTAACAGAAATGGAGCTGGAGAGGGAATGACTGGATTTTGCACAATCAATGACTTATTCATAGCAAATACATTTTTTAAGAGACATAAACGCAGGTTATATACTTGAATTTCACCTGATAGTATGCATAGGAATCATATTGATTACATCTGTGGAAAGAACCGCTGGAGAAGCTCAGTATCAGCTGTGAAAACTAGGCCGGGAGCTGATTGTGGAACAGACCACCAACTACTCATATGCAAGTTGAGGTTAACAGATGGCTGGACTTATTTCAAAAGAAGTAGTTAGAACTAATAGCAATAAAACCTATTCCACTGTTGAGGCAATTCTAACTCATAGTGGAACCCCCCACCCCCACCCAATTAGGTTTTCAGGGCTACAAAGCAAATCTGCACAGGAAGAAACTGCCTCATCTCTTTCCTGCACATTAGTTGGTGGATTAAACCACCAGCTTCTTTGGTTAGCAGTCTCACATGCAGCTTACTATGCCGCCAGGGGTCCTAACTTACTTCAATACAGCTATGTAGTGTTACCTAGTGTTCTTAGTGTGGTTTAAGCATATGGTCAGAAGAGGCCGGTTCATGGAGAGAGACATCATGCTTGTTAAAGCAGAGAGGGGTCAGTAAAAGGAAGGAAGACCCTCAATGAGATGAACTGACACAGTAGCTGCAACAGACATCATTAGGATGGCACAAAATTGGGCATTTCAATCTGTTGACAGAGGGTCACTATCAGTCAGGGCTGACTCTCATAACAGCTAACAATAATAACATACAAGTACTACAAGTATAGACAGTTCAAATGGTTAGTATGTTCGGTTACTAACTAATTGGTAATTAACTGGTTCAAATTCACCCAAAAGTGCACTGGAAGAAAGTCCTGGTGACATGCTTTAAGGTAACATCCACTGACAACTCCAGGGAGCTTCTCAGCTCTATTCTGAAAACACGGGGTTACCAGGAGTAGGAACTGAGTCAGGGGGAACTGGTCAGTTCTGGTTTGGGTAAATATTAAATGGATGGAAACAGAATGAACCTTGCTCGGATATGAGGAAGAAGTAAGTTTAAATCACAAATACCAGAAAGTAATTTTTCTGTTGTAAAATTTCATGTAAATTTAAAACATAAAAGAGCATTTTGTCTATAGTTGCTGACAAGAGTGCAGTGCCTTAGGAAAGAGGGACAAAGGCATATTCCTGCTGAGATTTCTCTTAGGAATAGTTAGACTCTCTGAAAATAGTTTTTTGTGGGTTTTTTTGTTGTTGTCGTTTAGGCCGTGAAATTGGTGACAGGATTAAACTCAGCATGAAATCAACCACAAATTGTTGAGCAGAACTTTCTCAGATCACTTACTTGGAGGCTGTTCTTAGTGAAATCACTACCTGGAACTGCTTGAATGGTGTCTTCTATACCCCTTGCAAAGAAATATGTTCATCTAGAACCTGTGAATGCAACTTTATTTGGGGAAAGTCAGTGCAGATGTGATTAATTAAGTTAAAGAACTAGAGATGACATCCCAGACACATGTAGACCCTCACTCCAAATTGCTGGTGTCTACAAGAGAAAGGGGAGAGATCTGAGATGTGCAAACACAAAGAGGGCCCTATGAAGATGGAAGCAGAGGCTGACATTTTGCTGCCATCATAAGCTGAGGTATATGTGGATGTGGAGTCATGAGGAGCTGTAAAAGGGAAGAGTGGAGTCTCTCTAGAGTCTTTGGAGAACTTGATAATACTACTAATAATGCTAGTACTCTGATTTTGAACTTCTAGGCTCCAAAATGGAGAAGAAACTAAGGCACTGAGTTTGTGGCATTTTTTTATAGTAACCTTGTTGTTGGAGAATGTCGAGTTGACCCATAGCCGACCCTCCAGCAGGTTTTCACAGGCAGTAAATGCCACAGCAGGAGACTGCCCATCTTTCTCCTTTATAAGTGCTGGTGGTTTTAACCATGTTCTTTTGGGCTGGAAATGCAACTCCTTTCTATTAAGCCACCAGAGCTCCCTACAGTATCCTTATAAAAAAGAAAGAAAGCAAATATATTTCATCTCAGGAGATAAAACACTGACATACTGAATGCCTGTCTGACTGATGGAGATCCTCTGTCGGGCTTTCAAGTCTATAAAGCTAAATGGGAAGAGACTGCATGCAGAACTGGCTGGGGGATTCGAACTGCTGACCTTAACCTACTGCACTACCAGGATTTATTCAAAGGTAAGGGAGTCCCTTAGTAAAAAAGATATCTTCTTTTTGGAAATA